ACTTGTAGTGATAGTAGTATCGTTGCTGAGCTCATGAAGGCGACTGATGAGTTGTGATTTTGGGTTGGTTGCACCACTGTTCTCATCAGCAGTCACCAGCATTATGGCTTTCATTAAGCATTGTCTTCATTTTGTTGCCTGCTCTCCTTCCTACTATAGTTGGTCATCTTCTTCACATGTTCCTTGCATTTCCTTGCCATGTATCTATGTTTGTGATTGTTGTTCTGGCATCCTTGAGAGAGATGAGCCTTTCCTTTAGGAAGCGTCAATCTTGCTGCTTGTACCACTGCCTCCAAGCCCAGACCGCACTGGCAGATGCTTCCTGCCTTTTTTCCAACCCGGCAGCTGACGCAGCTCTTTCACAGCAGAAGAGACCCAACAGATCTGCCGATGTCTCCCATATGCCCGGCCAGGTGTGCGCGGCAAGGGACCGTTTGAAGGCAAAGGCGGGCCCTGCGGCAAGCAGTGTCAGCCGACACTCCTCCCATCAAGGACTAAGAGCGACATTCGGAGATTTGCTGCCATTGTGTTTTGGCATGAGAGTGAGTTGGACTGTGGATGCTTCGGTCGCGGGCGCAGATTGGGGTAACGCCGCAATCGCATCAATCGTACTTGCTTGCTGCTGGAGTTCCTTATTATGCAGGGGTTGATTTGCAGGTACTGTAGGTCTGCAGTCGCGAGATGTGGTGTCGGCGCAGTCGCGGATCAAATACAACGGCCTCACCCGCGATTGCCAGCTCCTGTTTTGCAAGGAGGGTACAAGCTTTCAAGCTCTTTCTGCAGTCATTCTCGCATGGGACAGGTGAACTCTGAAGCACAAGAGCTGCAGATTGTGGAGGCACGGAAGCTTACAGACTTAGTGAAGAAGTGCAAGAAGGAAAGCATCTTACCCGGGTTGACATTATTGAAGGCCGCCGTTCCTTCAGGCATACTAGTCACAAGTATTTGCATTCGTGAGTGTAAAGAAACAAGCATCGAGGGTTCACCTGCCTTCGCTCTTCCGAGGCGAGAGGGTTTCAGTGCACTGTGAAAGGCTTCGTGGTTCAAAACTTGCCGGGTTTGCAGCTTCTGAACCTGTTGGATTGAGTCACTCTAAAATGGTCCGGAGCTTCCGGCAGGCTCCTTTCGTGCTTTCCAGCCTCCTCGTCCTCGGTTTGTGCTAGTCAGTGTTTCCTCCTTAAATGTGAAAATCTGAAGCCGGAGCCCCAGCCCCATAGCCCCATAAGACCGCCCTAAACCCCAAGTCGTAAAGCCCAGAGCTCTTCGAAGGTTGAGCTGAAGCGTGCTTCCATGGAACTGGAGTCTGCGCGGGAGGCCTGCCCGTGCACAGCGAGAAGAGTAAGAACATCAGTATGAGCATTGACGAGAATGCGGTGAATGATAGCAAGAAGTGGGAATCATGGAAATTGCAACACCGTAGGAGTAATTACTCACGACGACCGCTACAAGGAGAAAGTCTGGAGAAATACTTGCTGGCCCTGGGCAGTAGCAATGCCCGAAGCAGCAAATCTAGGGTTCCAGTCCGGGTGCTGGGAGGGGTGATTTTGATGGTAGAGAACTTTAGTGAAGGTGCTGTGCTTCTTTTTACCTCCAAGGCTGCTACATTGAAGGCTAGAAAGAGAGTGTCCGTTCCCAGCTCTCGCAGCCCGACACTCTTCGAGCCTGAAGCCACTACCTCAAAGAGCCCGCGACACCTCAAAAAGCGAAACAAAAGGAGATGTGTTGTGCCAGGAGAAGCTGCACCTTGATGTGCAGGCTCTGGTTTCGGCACGTTTTGAAGTTTTTCAGGATTGTGAGTTGGCTGGGGGGTGGATGTGGCTCTCACCAGGCAACCTCGGCCGGAAATTTCAACCTCCGAAGGTCACAGAGAATTCGAAATTCAGTGCCTCATCAACCTGTCAAAAGTCTTCCTCGGAGCTACTTCTAGTCTTCGGCGGTCATTATGGTTGCTGTCGTTCAGATGACTGCTGCGACGACGACGACGACTGCTGCAGCAGCAGCTGCCACGACTGCTGCCACTATGACTACCGCTGCCACCACCACCACCACAACAACAACAACAACAACTACTACTACTACTACTACTACTACTACTACTACCACTCCTGCCCCTACACCTGCTACTACTACTCCTTCTACTCCTACTCCTGCTCCTGCCCTTACGCCTGCTACAGCTACTGTTACTGCTACTGCCGCGACTACTACTAGAACTACAACTACTACTATGCTACTGCCGCTGCTCCTGCCGCTGCTCCGGCTCCGGCTCCTCCTCCTGCTCCGGCTACTGCTACGGCCATGCAACTACTACCGCTTCTACTGCCGCTCCGGCTGCTACTGTTGTTTTCTGCCGCACGCAGATCTTCCACCAGAGGGAGGAGAACAACGCGTTGAAGGGAGAGCACCAGCGACTGAGCCTTGAGGAGACCCCGGGCCTTGAAGTTGCGTCTTCCTCCTGTCAGGGCGATAGTGCGAACAAGGATATCATTAAAGAGGACTCTGGCAGTTCTGACGAACCCAAAGTGAAAACAGCCATGATGGTACCGCTTCTTGTCGTGTTTTTTCGTAGTTGTTTAAAGGCTGTGTTCCTGTATTCTGGGGAAAGCTACAAGAACTTCAGTGGGCAGGCTGCAAGTCTTACACTGTACGGCACAAGCCCTGCAGCCGAGGTCCTGAGTCTGAACTTTTGCAAGTGGATCACCAAACACTCCCGAAACCCTTTACTCTTGATAGCGCACATGCCACTCTACTTGTAGGTAGAATTTCAATTGGAGTCCTGCGTGTTTCAATCAAGGGCATAACATGGGTTTGGCCAATGGCTTGAAGCAACACAGTATTTGGTCCTTGGAAATAAAGATCCCGTTGAAATCCTTACCCAGCTACAGAACAACCTACCCCAAATCGGATTCGTCATGCTCCGACTACGCAAGCCTTGCCGGATCTTGCAGAAGCTTTACCGCACACAGTACCCACCCAGCATGCAGCCGGTCCGAGATCAATGGCGCTGCTCCCAAATCCAAACACATCTTCTCCTGGCTTTTCTCTAAACCCTAAACCCTAACCCTAAACCTCCGGTATTCGCAGGCAGCATCGGTCCGCGCTCAAATGCTAGCAGCCCGTGAAGAGACAGACGAAGCTACGAAGGCCACACATCAGGGTTAGTTGGGTTGAAACCTTTTTGTCAGGTGCCTCAAGATTGTAGGGTTTTGGGGTCCTTGAGTTTTGGTGTTTGGGATCTAGGTTTGTGTGGGTTTAGACTGCTGTTTCTCCTTAATGGCTTGCGGGGCATTGGGTCAAGGCACAGGATCGGAAGAGATGCAAACAGATCCACTACTGCATTGTTTTCGGCTCAATCTCAGAAAAATATGCAAAAATGCATTGTTCTGCGTATTTTAAGGACACTGGAGGAGATCTGAGGGAAGAAGACAAGCAGGAACAGAGAGTCTGTATAAATGTGGTTACAACATGCAGCAGGCATAAGGTACTCCGCAACGCTTGAGCACAACGTTCCATGTTACAAGTAAGCCGCTCGAGGCTCGAGGGGAAGAAGAAGAAGCCGTAGTCTCTGACCCCTAGAACAGAAACCTCAACGCTGGAATTGAAATAAGAAAGATGTAGATGCACAGAAAACAGCGTAACACTCGTTCCGGTGATCTTCGGAATCTTTAGTCTACCTCCCTGAATGTAGCGTCTTCACTCTGCTTAAAAGTCAGGTTTTAAAGGCAGCTACTGGCAAAGCCTACTTTGAAGGATCGCAAAAGGGTCTTACCCTTGACGCATGTTATGCATGCTGTTGTGGGAATTCGAAGCCAAGTGTCGAGGCCCTCAAGGACCTGATCGACGGCCTCGGAACCCTGACATCCTCGCTGGTGTGGACCCTGGGTAGCCCGGGTAGTTACCGGCTCCCGATTTCAAGTCGTGCCAGGTGAATCCTTGCCATGAGTCTCCCAGTCCTCGTTGACTGACGGCAAGACAACGGTTGTCACCGTTACTGCTGTTACGATGACGACCACGATGACGGCGATGGCTGCTTCTGCTGTTGCTGCTGCTTCTGATGCCACCACTGTTACTGACATACGTACTTACCTGCCTGCCGGCATGCTTACCTGCGTGCCTGCATGCTTACCGCGCGATACCTTCTACCCACTATTCATTGCCAACTACTACTAGCATCAACGCAATTGATGCCACGATTTGCGATTTCTCCGATGTCGACGGGCAGCATCACGAATGCCAGTGCCGCCAAGACCACCGCCATTACACCAAGGCCAATGCTGACAATGAGCACGGCCGCCTGGCGGCCACCCAGGTGCTGGTGACCGGGCCTCCAGAGATCGTCAAGGCAGGTGCTGGTAAGCCTTGAGGGTTTTGGGGCTTGAGGTTCTGAGAGGCTTGCGGGCTCGAGTGTACAGGGCACAAAGCTGTACATATGACGCATGTATGTACAAACATAAACTGCCTTCCAAGCCTTCAATACAGCAAAATGGCACAAGGACTAGACTGCCACTACTGCCACTCAAGGCAGCCAGGAGCTTTCCAAGGACCATTAGAGTTTTGTTTGAGTTTCTGTCTGCCAAGACTTCGGCTTTGTGTGTCTCGTATGGTATGGTATGGCATGGTGTGGTATGGTATAAGAACGGTCCGGCATGGCAATGGCGATGGCAATGGTGTATGTATATATTGATGTAAGCATGTCAGCATGTAGCATGTAAGCGTGCATGTGTGAATGTGTGTATGTGTGTATGTATGCACTTGTGCATGTGTGCATGTGTGTCTAACCTAAGATAGCACACACACACATATATATATATACATATATATATATATATATATATTCATGTATATATGTGCGTGTGTGTGTGTGTATGTAGTGTCTGTCTGTCTGTCCGTCTGTCTGAGACTCGTTCTGATTGATTAGTGTTATTAACGATCAGAGCATTATGATCATTGCTATGCGACTCATGTTGATGCCCCAAGAGTCTCCATGAGCACTCAATTGCCAGATGCGCGTGCCCACGAACCTTGAGCCGCCCGTGGGCGGTGGTCAAGCCTCCCCTGGGCAACTTGGCAGACGAGACCATTCTGGCTTTAGGGTCTCGGGCTGTGCTATGTGAAGTGTTGTGAATCTAGATCTTCAGCTCGACAAGCTGCAGCCTCCAACCCCCAAACTGTCAAGGCTTTGGTGCGAGCATTTCCGAAGTAGAAGCCTTACTGTATTCCCCACATTCATACTACTATTTGGATTCCTGCGTAATCATCGGGCTTGATGGAGTGTGCAGGCAGAAGAAAAGGCCCTCTCAATCGGGAGTGCACAAAGTGTCTTAGCTCTACGGAATTGTCTTAACACGGAAATCTTTTCCTTCACTTAAAACTGGCCGTAGGCAATTGCACTATGTAGCATGGATTGCAAGGGTTGGGGTATGTAGGACATGCAGGCTCGCTCGACTTGTGAGGCCATGTTGAAGCGATCCGTCGTTGAACAACTTGCTAAGTTGCTGGTGTGTTTCTGAAGGGACAGTCAAGGCCTATGCAGGTATTTCACCAGTCTCGGTGAACGGGCCATTGAACATGTTGAGTTCCTCTCACAAATGCCAAGTTTTGCAACGAATTTGGAATTCTTCCTAGCCTGGTGCAGTCAGGTTGTCGCAGACGCGGCGCAGCCCCGGGTCCAGCACGCCAGTACACGGTAGGGGGCTGAAACACGGGTCTGGAAGAATGAGCTGGCGGGATTTGGTTCTTAGGGTACAATGAGCACGGGACAGCTTTCTTTGTGGCAGGTGCGGCCGAAACCCTAAACCCGAAACTGAGTCACACAGCTAGCGATGTAAAAGGGCATCCGAAAGAAACGAAACTTAGCCGCCTGCACAGCGATAGAGGGTGAAAAGGAGCTTTAAGAAGAACAACTCTACCATAGGAGAGTCGATGGATGCCAGAATGTTGAAGACTTTGCCAACTTCCCCGCATACGACCTATTACAGCATCATCTTCTGCCGAAGATCTCCATGGTGGCTGCTGGCACTCGTAGCCTGACGCCCTCATTTGGAAATTGTTTCGTCGGATGCAGGACTTTTTTCTGGTGCGTCGGCTTTCACATAGGGGACGTCGGAATTCAACTCAATACATCCTGAAGCTCCAGCTCCGCATGACTTGCAAGTCCGCTTGAAAACTGACCACCTCGCAGCTGCGATGAGTCACCCAATGCTATTCAGCCTCTCAGAATCTCAGCAAAGAAGGCCTCCCCCGCAGGTCAGCGCACTCCACGCACGCCTGGTGTCGTGCCTTTCAAGCCGACCTCGAAGTCACTATCGCCACCCTTCCGAAGGCAGACACTTCTCCGAGACGTTGAGGTTAAGCTTCGGTTTTGTTTGAAGTAAACTTGCTCGGTGTCGAGAGTTCAGGAAAGCCAGGTGTAGCTTTCTTCAGAAGACCTGATTCAGGTGAAGACCTATTTTACAACTGTGGGGCTGGACAGTGTTGACTTTCGTTGCCGCGCGTGCTTCGATCTCATCCCGCGTTGCCTGTACTTTCCGTTCCACAGCCAAGCACGCAGAGCATCCAGTTCTCGGTGTACGGACGTCCTGTATGTTGCCTCGGAGGCTCTCTAAAGCTCCCGCCTCGGAGGCTCTCTAGAGCTCCCGCACGGATGCACGCACGGAAGCAGGCACGGACGCGCGCACGGACGCGTGCACGGCAGCACGATACACACTCGGAGTACAGCTCGTAGCATTGTTGATACCATTTTGCAGGCCGCAGGTATCCCGCTTGGACGCAAGAGCTTGCATCTGAGCGAAACTAAAGCCTAGGGGCCTAGACCCTCCAGGGGTCCTCGGCTCTAAGCCTTACAAACCCTGAGCCCTACAAGGCCAAACTCAGCGTAGTATCAGACCCTCTGGCACAGCCCAAAACTCAGTATCGCCTTGCAGTGGCTCCCGGGATGCTACACCCGTGCCGGTACGGTCCCCTACGCCCACTTCCGGGCGGGGGCCTTGGTGGCGAAGATCACTTTCAAGGGATGCAAAGACAAAGGTGAAGGTTTTCATGATATGACTTGAGATGCTTTGCTGCGGTGCTTGTTTCCCATATAATTGCGCTGTACGATAGTTCTGATTGCTACTGCTGTTGCTGCCGCAGATGCTATGACTAGCGCCAGCGCTCACCACCACCACCACCACCACCACCACCACCACCACCACCACCACCACCACCACCACCACCACCACCACCACCACCACCACCACCACCACCACCACCACCACCACCACCACCACCACCACCACCACCACCACCACCGGCGCACGTGCAACTCATACTGATTGCTGCTAGCACTACTACCCTCAACGCCCCGGCCCTCTCTCCCCTAGCTACGCTTACCAATCCGGGGCTGGGGAGTGGCAACTTACTGTGGCAGAAGTTGCAGCCGCTCGGGCTCCCTCCGCCTCCACGACCTTCGCTGCCAAGTTAGGAAAGTCAGAAGTGTCATGTTTCGTCCTTTGCAGGATGTCCCAACTGTCTGAGGACAAGACTGTGGGTCTTGTATCTGTCCATTCCTGCAGCAAGCTCTTTCATGTGATGTCCCCTCCATACATCAGGTCAACACCGAAGCCAAAGACGCGCTGGCATGATTTGCCAGCTCCTGTGTGATGTGGGCATTGGCCACGACAGGTAGACTACCTCTTCGGTTGTGGGCTTATTCAACGGCTTCATTCCGTCACGAACCTAGTAGGAAAGTGGTTCAGGACTTAAGGGTTCAGATCTCGAACAGGGGTTGGTTGCGCAAGACCTAGATGCCTCAACCTCTCAAACCAGTAAGCCTCAACAACTGAACCACTTGGAACCCCAGAAGGAGCTCCGCAAGCTCTCGACTCAATGCATCACTCACGCTGCCCGGGCCCAAACCCGAAACCCAAAATCCACGACCCTACAACCTTCAGGCTCAAAGTCATCAACTCTCATTTCCTCGAACTGTAAAAATTGAACACCCCCCCAGACCAGCCAGGCTGCCAGCCGAAGCTGAAGATGCCGTGTCGCAGGCGAGTGATCACACCAGGACCAGCAGTAGTGGTAGTGGTATTGGTAGTGGTAGTGGTGGTAGTAGTAGTAGTAGTAGCAGCAGTAGCAGTAGTAGTAGTAGCAGCAGCAGTATTAGAAGTAGTAGTAGTCGTAGTAGTCGTAGTAGTAGTAGTAGTAGCAGCAGCATTAGGGGTCGCGTATCCTTTTTGTCTTTTTTTTTTTGTGTCAAAATGTCTTTTTTTTATGTCTCAGTTGACGTCTCGGCTTACACATTCCAATGTCTCGGCCATGTCTCGGCCATGTCTCGGCCATGTCACGGCCATGGTGAAGCGTCTACGACACAGGACATCTGTTCAGGCCTAGGCCATTAACCCTAAACCACAACCCTAAACCCTAAACCTTACGCCCAAAGCCTAAACCCTAAACCTTACACCCAAACCCTAAACCACAACCCTTACACCCAAACCCTAAACCCTAAACCGTAAAGCTCCTTAAACCCTCCTAAGCCGTTAACCCTAATCCCTAAACCCTGGCGAACCCCGAAAAAGGGTCTCGGCCGGGTCTCGGCGGAGTCTCGGCCAAGCGTAAATCCTGAACCCTAAGCCCTATGTCCTAAACCCTTAACCCTAAACCCCTAAACCTTACAACCAAGTCCTTAACCTTAAACCAGAACCCTAAACCCTAAACCTTAGACCCAAAGCCCAAACCCTAAACCACAACCCTAAACCCTAAACCTTACACCCAAACCCTAAACCCTAAACCGTAAAGCTTCAACTCTAAAACCTTAAACCCTCCTAAGCCGTTAACCCTAATCCCTAAACCCTGGCGAATCCGAAAAAGGATCTCGGCCGGGTCTCGGCGGAGTCTCGGCCAAGCGTAAATCCTGAACCCTAAGCCCTATCCTAAACCCTTAACCCTAAACCCCTAAACGTTACAACCAAGTCCTTAACCTTAAACCACAACCCTAAACCCTAAACCCAACACCCAAACCCTAAACCCTAAACCAGAACCTTAAACCCTAAACCTTACTCCCAAACCCTAACCCTAAACCCTAGAGCACAACCCAAAACCCTGAACCGTAAACCCTCGTAAGCCCTTAACCCTAATCCCTAAACCCTGGCGAACCCTAAATCCGGGTCTCGGCCGAGTCTCGGCGGAGTCTCGGCCAAGCGTAAATCCTGAACCCTAAGCCCTATGTCCTAAACCTTTAACCCTAAACCCCTAAACCTTACAACCAAGTCCTTAACCCTAAACCAGAACCCTAAACCCTAAACCTTAGACCCAAAGCCCAAACCCTAAACCACAACCCTAAACCCTAAACCTTACACCCAAACCCTAAACCCTAAACCGTAAAGCTTCAACTCTAAAACCTTAAACCCTCCTAAGCCGTTAACCCTAATCCCTAAACCCTGGCGAACCCCGAAAAAGGGTCTCGGCCGGGTCTCGGCGGAGTCTCGGCCAAGCGTAAATCCTGAACCCTAAGCCCTATGTCCTAAACCCTTAACCCTAAACCCCTAAACCTTACAACCAAGTCCTTAACCCTAAACCACAACCCTAAACCCTAAACCCTACACCCAAACCCTAAACCCTAAACCAGGACCTTAAACCCTAAACCTTACTCCCAAACCCTAACCCTAAACCCTAGAGCACAACCCAAAACCCTAAACCCTAAACCCTCGTAAGCCCTTAACCCTAATCCCTAAACCCTGGCGAACCCTAAATCCGGGTCTCGGCCGGGTCTCGGCGGAGTCTCGGCCAAGCGTAAATCCTGAACCCTAAGCCCTATGTCCTAAACCCTTAACCCTAAACCCCTAAACCTTACAACCAAGTCCTTAACCCTAAACCACAACCCTAAACCCTAAACCTTACCCCAAACCCTAAACCCTAAACCGTAAAGCTTCAACTCTAAAACCTTAAACCCTCCTAAGCCGTTAACCCTAATCCCTAAACCCTGGCGAACCCCGAAAAGGGTCTCGGCCGGGTCTCGGCGGAGTCTCGGCCAAGCGTAAATCCTGAACCCTAAGCCCTATGCCTAAACCCTTAACCCTAAACCCCTAAACCTTACAACCAAGTCCTTAACCCTAAACCAGAACCCTAAACTGTAAACCTTAGACCCAAAGCCCAAACCCTAAACCACAACCCTAAACCCTAAACCTTACACCCAAACCCTAAACCCTAAACCGTAAAGCTTCAAGTCTGAAACCCTAAACCCTCCTAAGCCGTTAACCCTAATCCCTAAACCTGAACCGTAAAGCTTAGAACCACAGCCGAAACATGTGTATGTAGAACAACAGACAAAAAAAAGACATTTTGACACACAAAAAAAAGACATTTTTGACCCCAGACTCCAGCAGCAGCAGCAGTAGCAGCAGTAGTAGTGGTAGTAGTGGTAGTAGTAGCAGCAGTAGCAGCAGTAGCAGCAGTGGTAGTAATAGAAGTAGGAGAAGGAGAAGAAGGAGTAGGACTAGGGGTATTGGTCGGAGTAGGAGTAGCCGTAGCAGTAGCAGTAGGAGTCGGAGTAGGCGTAGGAGTAGGAGTTGGAGTAGGAGTAGTGGCTGTGGTAGTAGTTGTTGTTGTCGTCGTCGTGGTCGTGGCTGTTGTCGTGGTCGTTGTCGTTGTGGTTGCGGTGCTGGTTGTTGTTGTCTTTGTTGTTTCTGTTGTGGCAGTAGCACCAATGGCTGGTAGTAGTAGCAGCAGCTATTGTTCTGCTTCGGAGCTGCTCCCGGGCACTTTTTCCGTCCTTGGACTGTGCATCCCAGGCGCGGAAATGCCTGACAGACGTGGAAGCTCAGTTTGGCTACTCCAGCAAGCAGGCCGGCCGCCGGCTGCTTTGCTTCAAGCTTTGTTATTCTTCAAAAAGCCCTGGAGCCGAGCCGGAAAGCCCTCGCCTCGCGCGCCCCAAACCTCCAAAACCGGAACAACAGCACTGGCCAGGCTATCCATGCATCCACCGAATTGGCTCTGCAGCTCGAGGTCATTTGGTGTGGGATTTTGGGTCTGAGCAAGTAGTTTTTGGCAGGGGGGTTTCCCTGCACCGCCACGGTTTCTGCTATCGCTTTCAATGACTACTGCCTCCGCTGCTGCTGCGGCGGCTGCAAAAAACCACCAGAGCTCCCACCACTCCTACCACAATCACCACCATTACCACTATGACTACCACATCATAAGCAGTGGTAGGGTTAATAGATATAGTAGCAGTAGTCGCAATGGCAACAGCAGTAGTAGCAACGGCAGCAGGAAGAGGAGTAGTAGCAGCGGCCCGTCAGGAGTGAACCCAGCTCCGCAATTGCTAGTGCTGCTGCCGGTATTTTCAGCTGTCATCAATGGCCCAACCCCGTGACCTTGGTCATCAACAAGGTCATGGCCATCGCAGTCTCGCCATCTGGTTATCATGCCACCATCATTTCATGATGAGTATCCTCAGTCTTCGCTCTTCCCGACTTTGGCTCCGTGGCATCGCTGCCAAAATGATCTTCACTGCCTCCTCCATTCGCCATTTGTGCAACCCCTCCCGGCGGCCAGGAGCTGCGCCCGGCAACGGCCGAAGCTGGCGAGCTGCTGCAGCGAGCGTTGGAAGGCAGCGGAGTGTGGGGTTTTGTCTACTGGTTCTGAGCTTCGCTTTCATCTGCTGCAGTGCAGCGAAAATTCACGCCAGGTTGAGCTTGAAAGGTCATTGTCCAGATAGACTTCAGCTGGTTTGTTCATGATCGGGTTTGACTGTGCTCGGCTCCTTCACCATGATATTTTTGACAGTCCGACTGGCCACAGCCGGAGACAGAGTTTCACTTTCGGGGGTTTTGGTTTCCTTACTCTGTCGTGGCTTGTGATCGCTTCTGAGCCAAGTGCGCTGAGCAGTTTCAGACCTGTCGGTTTTCAAAAGCCGCGAGTGCTGACAAGCTCGGAGGCTCCAAACAAGCCTATGGCGAGCAGCACCTGAACACGCTGCGCACTGCCAACAACCTGGCAGCCAGAATCCCGGTAGGCTCAGACCTGCTTTCACAGTTAGGTTGGGGAGCGACACTGTATCAACACTCCGGGAAGAACAGGACTGTAGGGGTCCTAACGGCTAGCTCTTGCACAATCAGTTGGATTGCAGCTCTGTCTTGCACTGCCGCATGTGAGCGTAATTCGTCTGGTGTGTATTTCAAACTGCATGCTCAACGGGGCCGCCCATATTCGTGCCGAGGTGTACTTGGACAACATCGGGCAGAAAGACGAGGCATAGTCGCATGACAGGTTGCACACCTCACTGCTTGAGCGATGTTGTGCTGTCAGATGCCCTGGTGGGTGCATCTTTCGTTGTTTCGATTTCATTGCCCTAGTAACGCAGAGTAAAAGCTGTCTGGGATGTCTGGTCCCTGAATGTTGAGACCCTTCCTTTTTTCCCTGCAGAGGCCCTTCAGCTGTATCGTTGGGCTCGAGATGGGCGACTCAAACAGCCCTTTGGCGCAACGGGAGCCTCGTGGACTTGAGGCCTTGTTGGCACAGGGATTAATGTCGGCCGTCCCTCAATCGAGCGCCGTGCAGTTAGCGCAAAGCACGGCTTTGATACTGACATTTTAAAATAACCTGGTTCGAACATCTCTTGCCACAAAGATTGGGACATACTGAGTTTTTCAAACAGCCCGGTTCGAACATCTCTTCCACAAAGGCTAGGACATACTGAGTTTTGTTTAAAAAAAACTTGGTTCAACAGGACATGCTGAGTTCTCTTGCCACAAAGGTTAGGACATACTGAGCTTTTGAAATAACCCGTTTGGAACATCTCTTGCCACGAGATCAGGACATACTGAGTTTTTAAAACAACCTGGTTCGGACATCTCTTGTTACAAGATCAGGACATACTGAGTTTTAAAACCTGGTTCGCACATCTCTTGCCACAAAGATTAGGACAGACTGAATTTTTCAAATATGCCGGTTCGAACATCTCTTGCCACAATGGTTAGGACATACTGAGTTTTTACAAAAAATAAGCTGGTTCGAACATCTCTTGCCACCAGATCAAGACATTCTGAGTTCTCTTGCCACAAAGCTAAAGACATACTGAGGTTTTAAAAGAACCTGGTTCGAACATCTCTTGCTACAAGACCAGGACATACTGAGTTAAAAAAACTGGTTCGAACATCCCTGGCAACAAAGATTATGCGTGTTTATGCATTTCAAGATGGGGTGTTCGCAGGGGACTTAGTCAGGGCTTTGGAACAACTCCCGGGTGAGCAACACTCAACCCCAAATGGTAGGTGGCTTTCAGTAGGTTTTACATCAGAAGCGATGAGCAGTAAACCCCGCAAAGAAACCGGACACGAAGCGCCCATCCTTGGGGCCCTACGATTGGTCATCGGGGTAAGCCGCAGTCGGGGAACACGGTAGTAACAGAAGCAAGCAAGAGTAGCAAGAGCATTCATAACAGTGGTAATCACGGAAAGAATCATACACCCCAACATGCCATGGACCGTGCAAGTCTCAGGCTTGGCGCCACGCACCCGTACACGTTGGACTCCATGTACAACCTGGCTGTCCGAAGCTGAAACTCTGCCATGTCACGTCGAGGGTTCAGGGTCGCAGGCTGAGGATTCGCCGGCTTGGATCTGCAGTTTAAACTTGCAGGAGGAAGCGCGGTTTCCGTCAAGAATGCAGACAGCTGTTTCATTGCACCTACGTCATTCCCGATACAGACACAATGATGATCATGATGACCATTGTGATTATGAAGGCCATCACGCATAATGATGTTGATGATGATGGTGGTGATGGTGATGGTGAGTAGCACAACCATAAACGACAACGTCATCCGTCATCAGGAGTCATCACCAGTCATGAGTCATGGTCATCACCATCATCATCATCATCGTCATCATGCTCACCATAACCATCAGGCTCTCCCTCCTCCTCATCATCCGGCTCATCAACAACAACATCATCGTCATTATGACAACTGCTGCAACAGCTAGTCATCGTCGTTGTGGTGGCAGCAGAAGATCAGCGGCAGAAGCGTCAGCAGAAAGGAGGAGCAGCAGCCGCATCCAACCACTTCAGGCGTGTTTTCCCCTGCCTGCTTCTGCTGCATACCCCTACTTGCTGTGCTGAGTCCTTCCTTTTCTACAACGGCCAGATGGCGGATGCGAAAGAGGCACTCGAAAATATTTTGGGGTTCCTGATTGTTTCGATCTCCGGTTACTAATATTGATGGGTGCCAGAGTTTCAAAGATCTCTAGATATTTTAAGCCTTGTTGATTATAGTAGCCGATGGTCAAGCGTAAGCTTGGCCACACTTGTGGAAAGAGCTCCAACCCTTCGTGCCAGGAATTCATCCGAGCACGCGACGGCTGTGTGGAATGCTTCGGGCCGGAGACCTGGTGAGGCAAAGTTTGGGTTTGGGGTGTTTGTTGAGCATGAGCTAGAGGTACGTCTCCTCACCTGCAATCGGCGTTGATCCAAACAACAACCAGGAGAAAACTGCCGAAGCACTAACTGGACCGCCGGTCATCAGCCACCAGCCACTACCGAGCATGTTGACATCCCATGGCTCTGTGGGTTTGTGTGCGTTGCAGTGAAGGCTGGGGATTCTCAAGTCAAGGGCTCCAGGGGCTTAGCCACAGAAGGTCTTCTCCACTCTCCTCTCCTATCTGGTGTACCATACAGAATCTTTTCTTTGCTTTGAATATATATATATATATATATACAGGTATATACGTATGCTTCTATATAGCTAGCTATATGTATATATGCATGCGTAGACATCAAACCAGTATTGCATGTACTGTAGTGTCACCGAGTTTTATGAGTTCTTGTCTGATGTCATAGCTCATGCAGCCGACATTCTGAGGTGGACACATACCGGCACGCTCGATTGCACCGAGCGGCTCGTGGACATTTACGAGGTGGAAGTCGGAAAGTCAGAGGCAGCATCGAGGCTTTGGAGGTCGTCATGTTTACTCATCGCTGTCGGCGGCAGGATCGGTGGTGCTGATCATGATGCTCATGATCACCTCCATGACCACCGTACTCATCCGTACTCCAAGCCTACTTGTGCTGTATCTGTCTGGTTCATCAGTACCTTCATGCCCATACTCTTCTTTCTTCACATAATCTCCGCCGCCAGCATCAGCACCACCATTCTGCTTAGTCATAGTCTCATCTCAGCCCCAACATCAACCTGCCATCTTGCCATCCATCACTACCGTCACTATGATGGCCACCATGGTCTGAATACTCTGTCTCAACTTTTTCAGTTTCAGCATCATTGTTATTATTGTTATTATTATGAGTGAGAGACAACATCACCAACACCTTCCTCCTCCTCCTCCTCCTACTTTTCCTCAGCCTTGCTGTTGTCATCACTACTGTTGTCATCAGCGTCACCACGGCGGCCAACATGTCGATGACAATGGCCATCAGGACCATGCTCATGAGTTTCATCATCAAACATCCAGCCGTGAACAGGCAGAGGGCGACATGGAAGAGGCAGAGGTCCACTGCAGAGAGCTGCTCCGTCGCTGCGAGGAGAACTTCACGATCTTCACTCTTGAAGGGTATGGGGATGGCGGAGGGAAAGGAACGGACCTTGTTTTCAGCTAGCTATGCTAAGAATGATACCTGCGAGAGAAACGGCACAAATCAATCATCAAACCTCAATCAAAATCCTCAAAGCCCGAATCTTGCGCATGCAGGACACGCATCCAAAAGATCACTCGCAGACTTTGCGAGCCTTGGCCGGGGGCCTTGGCTTGGCAGGAGCTTGAGCTCTAGTTTTCTGTTGAACGCTTCACACCATTTGTGCAGAGAAGCGAGAATGTAGGAGACTCAATACGTCGTAGCCTTAACTGTTGCAGGAGCCATATGACATGACATGTCTCCTCATAAACCCTGTCATTTACGGCCATGTGGGGATGTGCAAAATTTACATGTTAGGATCAGCAGTTTCTCCTTGACCGTCATGATGCCACTTTCGGCTGCATGCTCGGGTTTGTGCCGCGCGAAGGTGACACTGGCATCATTGCTTGCAGCCTTGGGTCGTTTACCGGAGGCCGTGATACGTTTGTGGATAGGTGAGGGCCGGTCGGGTTTTAGCTGTTGTGACGGCTCCTGATCTAATGCGGCGGTCCAAAAGCCAACAGCCAAGAGCTCATCAAGAGATTGCCTGTTGGCATTCGCCAAGCGGGATCCAGAAGGTCCTTCGCAGTACTTTCGGCCGGGTAAGCCCCCACTCGCGCTCCAACCCCTAAGACAAGCCGACGTGCCCTGAATCCTAAGCAAGAGACCTTTGTCGTCTTTATCCTAAACTCCCACAGCCCAGATACGGGTTGATCCGGAGTGCCTCTTGAAGTATGAGATCCCCGAGAAGTGCATCTGTGCGACCTCGTGCCTGCTCCTCCCAATCTGTTTGGTGTTACACAGTTGCACGTGTCACTTTCCCCAGTAGAGTTGAATCACTTAAAGATGGCGCCTGAAATTGAAGGCTGAAGATGTTCATCGACAAGCAATGCAGAGGCTCGAAGCTGGGCAGTCTTGGGGACACCTATTCGGGGGCCTCAGTGATGATGAAGATTTTGCGTTCAGAACTCTAAAGCATCGTTGCCCTCCTCCTTCCCCTTGTCGGTGGAAGGTGCAAGCTTTAGGGAGTTCCACATTACCTCACGTTACCACGACTACGATTGGATACCCGGCGTCGCAGGTTGATTGCCTGTACCGCCTCTACGCTACACCCCAAACCAATCCCACAAGGAACTGACTTTTGGGCTCTAAACTCCTGCGTGCCGCGGGGAGATCCTTCTCCGGTTGACACTGTAGCGCCTAAACCCTAAACCTCTAAACCCCTAAACCCGAAACACCTGAGCCCTGTCAGGTACGAGACCGCCCTCGGCTACGATCATGCAAAGACGCCGGGGTTCCCCAGGAAGTCTGGTTCAGTCACACAAACATTTTTGGTCGGGTTTAGGGTTTAGGGTACTGCTGTTCAGGTTTGTTTTTGGGGGTCCTTTATTCTGCGGAAGGAGATTTGGGGGATTGTTTCCTTCTATTCGCTCTCCTCAGCTCTGAAGCCTTAAACCCGAGGCTGGAGCCCCGGGGAACCCTGAGCCTCAAGCCCTAAGCCCTGTTACTCTCATCAGCCCCCAGCTCGTACAGTAGGCCCTAAGTCCAGCCCTTTGAGGTTGGAGCTGACATACAGTCTGGTCGAGTACTTCACGCAGAACCAGAGAACCGAGGAGGCACAGAAGACGTCGAAGCGAAAGATCCGAGCCCTCGGCTCACAGAGTGATGCTCAGGCAATGAGGAAGTTGCAATGGCAGTAGCAATACTAGCAGTAACAGTAGTTGAGACAGGTCGTAACAGTGATGGCAGTAAGAGTAACAACGCCACTAGAATGACAAGATCATAGCGACGGTTACGGCCATAGGACTAACTCCAGCAAAGCAAATTCATTGTAGCAGAAGCAGTACTACTATGACATGTAATGCATACGTATATGTCCTTTCCAAGAGTTATGCTTTCTTAACGGGCCCTGCAAGGGCTCCAATGACTGATGTAGTATGCAAAAGTTACGCGGAACCCGAAGCCTATCCTAACCTCTGCACCTTGTCGTCCTCGGAGGGATGAAGCTAAGACCTCAACGTGCACGTAACCAAGCCCAAACTCCAAAAGCCAAGTCCTGCACACAGGCGGAAGCACTGCTGCGGCAGAAGCTGACGCACTGTGAGGAGCTGTTTGGTGAGACATCGGCGAGGGACTTGGTTTGGGGCTGATGGCGGGTTTTGCGGCCACGTCAGGTACGAGGGGTACGTGGTTTTCTGGGTTTTGCATGGTTTCACAGACGCCACAGCTGCCTCTCCCTCTGTCTCCCTCTTTCGATCTCTCTCTCTCCCTCTCTCCATGTCTCTCTCTCTCTCTCTCTCTCTCTCTCTCTCTCTCTGTGCTTTGGCAGCACATGGCGGCACTAACTACAGTAGCCATGAATTCTCCCGCAGACTTCGCCGCCTGCGTTTCGATCGGTCACGACGGTTGGGTTTCCCTGCGATTTCCGTGACATCCTGGCTCAGGCTGTGGCGCAAGGGTATCAAGAGGATTTGGCAATCCTCCTGGACCGATTTGGGGCCAAGATGAGGGCGTTCAGAGGTTCAGTGCAGCATTCAAGGTTCAAGTTGCTCGGAAGCTGGGGATGAACCGGGTGCACTGTCTCGGCCATGCTCTGGGGGATTTTAGGAGTTGAGGTTGCAGATGGCTTCGGTCAACAACAATATGCTAGAACATGCTGGAACGAGAAAGTGCTGCAGCAGCTACATGTTGCCCTATCCCAGAAATTACCCTAATGCGCTGAACCGAGCGCCCCTACACCACGGACAGAGGGATAGGGGACCTAAGATTCAAAGTCAGGAATGATTTGTAACCGGGGAGTTGGGGGACTCAAATGTTGTCCTGAAATCTTTCTTCCTAGTCTTTATCTACAACTGCCTTTACGAGACATTAGCACAAGCATTATCATTGGAAGCCTGTGTAAGTGTACATTCGCCATGCTTCGTTGTCGTAGTCTTTAGGCTTTAGCCCAAATTGGCGAACGACACTCGTTCGTCACTCCCCTTTGTGCCCGTTCAAAACGTTCGGGTGGGCTTGATGCCCTGGGGACTTGACCGTCCCCTATGCCACGGAGAGAGACGGAGAGAGAGAGAGAGAGAGAGACAGAGAAAAGCAAAGCAAAGAGAGACAGAGGGACAGAGAGACAGGGACATTCCCTGAACGGTTGGGCTTACAACGCAAAGCTCAGGGACCTCGCGCCTCAAATTCATGCGCCTGTCAGGAGAATGCCGGTCAGGTGAGCGAATCCGAGGTTTTCTTCCGCCGAGTGCTGGAGTGCCGCAGGCGGCTCTTATAGGGAACCTTCTCGCATGTTGCGTAGGAAGGCGTAGCATTTTCTTACATTGCACTGCAACCTTCACAGGACACTTTCTCGCATTTCAGGTCTTGTGACCCACTCGGGTTTGCACTTCGGCCTTTGGTTTTGGACTTCGCCAGGAAAGTGTCCCAGTCAGCTAGCGCTACTAGCTCTCCATCCGAGAAGCCTCGCCAACCTTCAGTGTAAAGCTCGGTTTAGAAAACCAGCGGCATCAACAAGATTCATGAGCAGAAACAAAGTCAGCAATGCAATTTCCATCATTCTGCGTCCCTGGATCCCTTTTATCGTTATTGAGCCCTGTCTGAAGAAGATCCTGCTTGCAGGCGAACGCTTGGGCCGGAGCACGAGGACACCTTGCGGTCCAAGCCTAAATCTGGAACGAGGATGATTCAGTTTGAAGGGTTATGGAGTGGTGGTTCCGAAAAGCTAAACAGAAGGGTGCTTTACATATTTATCTGGTGCTCTTGAGAGCGGTACAGCGGTGGGGCATTGGAACTTCCTGAACTTTTTATTGTTTTCTTCTGATCCCAGCATGCAGCAAGGACATGCGCTAGCATCTAGAATTTGATGCTTCAAGCGCTGAGGTCCGCCTCAAACTTGGCCGTGCTTCTAGACAAGGAGAATCGTGGCGAGGAGGTTCGATCAATTACTCACTTCTCAGCTCTGGGGCTCTGCGGGCTCTAGAAGATAAGGATTGTGTCAAATTAGGACCAGGTTCAGGCACCTGGGCCTTTTTGCCAACGAAGCAAGTGGTAATGAACACTCGAACTTGAAGCCATGGAAACACCCCGTCGGGAGCTGCATATGCGTGAGTGAGAGCAAGTCCCTTCTCTTTCCCCGCCACGTGGTTACCTAGTCATTGCCATAGCACCGATTCCGGCCCCAGCCAACAACTGCCTCGAAGTCTCATGTACCAGATTTCGTGCTTTCGGCTTGATCTAAACATGGTTTGCAGCCATGTTCTGGGCTCGGACATGATTTTGTCAGATTGTGATAGTGTGGAAGTCCTCTGTGTCGGGTGCAGCTGTCTCGGTATGTGTTTACACATGTGAGATGTGTGGCATCCTGTTAGCAAGTCTGTTTGCTAGCATTGTGATTGCTTTAGCCGTTGAAGATGAGACGAAGCATGCATCCGGAGAGGCGTTGGAGCTTCATCGCATGGTGCACAGGGGCCGGACAAAGGCAGGGAAACTGGCTGCCCAAGCCGACCTTGCATGCCGATCTCCAAAGCTCTTTTGCAATGAAGCCCGCACAGTTTTTCGTCACTTCCTTTGAGAGAGCTTATCGAGAGGTTCTTTTGGGTCAGCCAGAGACAGGGATTCTTTAGACTGGATGTCAGGACTGGGGTTCCGAGACCATGATCAGGTGGGTGGTGTTGGATTGATGAAGGAAGCATCCAAGATGCTGGGGCGAGCACAAGCTCCGTGGGCATTCGAAGACCAGAAATCTGAACCTAATCAAGACTCCGAAAAGCTTGAGCACATGTATTGGCAATGGCAATCAGAGCTGTTGTGGCTGATGGTTCGCGGAAAGACCACCATCAACGAGAAGCAACAGGCCCCGTCCCAGGCTCATGAATCACCCTCAAGGTGGTAGCCCTGTTGGAAAGACAGAAGACCCCACATCTCAACTTCGCGCAACTCCGCAATAGTCTTTCCAAGGTTTGGCTCGAGGGCAGGCGTTTCGTGAGTCTGACAGCAGAACAACTAACAGACAGCTGAAGAACAGAGAGCAAACAAGTGAAAGTGAAGAGACGGAAGCATGCAAAGGGTGAAGCTTTCGCATGTTTCCCCCCGCATGGTGGAACAAAGCCTGAAGCATATCTGTGCTCGTCCACGAGGCCTTGGGCTCTACACACTCCAAAACACTGGAGAGCAGTTTGTCCCTGGGAGCTGGGACCTTGGGATGTGTTCGCAGGCTTCAGGGCTCATGGATGTGCGAGGAGGGGGCTCCAGGACGAAAGTCTTACGTCCTTGTTGGCGTGAAGGGGGCATTTCGGGCTTCGTGAATTTAAGTTTACTGGTTCCGAGGAGTTTGTGTGGGATCGAACTAGTTGGAGTGATCCATAAAGTGGACATTACTCTTTTTTTCTCTTGCCCAGCGTGAGCGGCAGGCTCCGCAGTCCCCACCTCGCATCGCTACTGCTACTACTCCTACTACTCCTGCTCCTGCCCCTACTGCTACTCCGACTGCTTACTACTACTTCTACTACTGGTACTGGTACTGCTACTACTACTACTACTACTACTGCTACTACTGCTCCTCCTACTGCTACTGCTACTGCTGCTACTACTACTACTACTACTACTACGACTACTACTACTGCTACTGCTACTGCTACTGCTACTGCTGCTACTGCTACTGCTACTGCTACTGCTACTGCTACTGCTACTGCTACTGCTACTGCTACTGCTACTGCTACTGCTACTGCTACTGCTACTGCTACTACTACTACTACTACTACTACTACTTCTACTACTACTTCTACTACTTTTACTACTACTACTACTACTACTACTACTACTACTACTACTACTACTACTACTACTACTACTACTACTACTACTACTACTACTACAATATACCACCACCACCACGACTACTACTAACAAGTGCCGCCAGCGTTGCTAGCCTGAGACAAAACGCTAGTCAAGAGCCTGATCCTGATCCTTTCGTTTAGAACACTCACACGTACTTGCCCCCCGCACTCCTTTGTCCGAACTACGCGAAAAAATTTACCCTGAACAAACTATCCTGGTTTCTGAACGGCTTCCCTTCTTGAATGTGCTTTACGCTTATTTGGTTCGCTCGAGCGAAGATTAGCAGAATGATGTGCAAGAGATCAAGCCTCCACTTTTTCAGGTGTGCCTTGCCGAAAATGGCCATTTGGAAGAGGCTGGCTCCGTTAAACCGCAGCACCCCTTACAGTTCTCACGGCTCACAGTTTCCAAAGTCCAGAATACCTCACCCATCTCGAAGCCGAGGACGCAATGACCATGTGTTGTTACGCGAGCTTACCTGAGGGCATTGACTGCTGCCAGCTCCTGCAAAGCAAGTTGTACTCGCAGTAGGTGTAGCGATGTCTTCGCATATCTACGGTTGCGCAGAGCGTACGCTACATGGATTGCAACCGCCTCCGGCTCTCAGCTACAGGCTGAAACACTGCTCAAGGGCCTCATGGCCCGGCCCCCAACTGTTGCAGCAAAAGCAACACATCATTGCAACAGTCTTGCCGGCGAAGTTACTAGTCGTAGTAGTTGTAATACTAATACGCAGCAGCCAGCAGGGAGTAGAAGAAGCCGCAGAAGTAGTGGTACTAGCAGTAGTCGTGGTGATGATGGTAGTTGTGGTGGTTGTGGTGGCCGCAACGGAAGCAGTAGGACGACCAGGAAGAGTTGCACTTCGACAAGCAGAACTGTGCCTACTGTAGCTATGTCCGTTTTTGCTTTAGAAGACGCACCTGTAGTTGCAAAGGACGTGCTCTGGAGGGAGCTATGGTCGTGTAGCTATGAGACACAGACAGCAATGACCATGCCCATATAGTGCTAGTGGTAAAACGGTCAAAGGGTGCTAAGTGATACACAAAGATTGCGAAGATGTAAGCAAATTGTGCTGTTCGGTTTCTTGCGCTTCCCTTCTCCCAACTCTAGGGTGTTCGGGCCCCAGCCATCGCGAAAACACCTCCCAAGCCGGGAACTCGAAGCCCAGTCTCCGCAGGATCCCGAAAAGAGTAATCGCCATGAAGTTTTGTCACCTGTTGAGGTAGAGTTGGATGCCCAGAAGTTTGGCCGAAGCCACGACTGGGCCTGGGTCTCGGTACAGAGCTCTGAGGTTGCAGCTCTCAGGGTGCAGGCAGGTTTCAGCACTTTGGAGTTTCTGAGACTCACGATTCTGGATGTTGTCAGGTAGGTTGGAACTGCAGGGTTTTTGCCTGATAGCTGCTGCCGAAGGTGTGTGCAGCTCACAACCTAAGTCGGGCAAATGCCTCTTAGTTCTATGGATGCTTGCGTCTCGACAGTAGAATCCTACAAACCCCGAGGTGCTCCTCTGTGCAGACAAGCTCGGCGAACTCGCGACGGCCCAAGGCGATTCCTGGCGAGCGGAGGCGCGTCTCAGAAGGTTTGATCTTTTTGTTGTCAGCACCTTTACCGCCGTGGCTAGAGGGATTAGAGGCTTTGTCTAAATGTGTCGAGGCTTTGCCGACATGTGTTAGCTTTTGCTAGTCAGTTGGAGTGAAGGTTATAAAATGCACAGGAGGACGCGCTTTCTGCCCTTCTTTTTTTGTTGCTTGCCTTACGATCTCAGGATTGAACGGATGTCTGACATGTCGTAGCTTTAGCTTTCTTGAAATGATTTTTCCCCCTGTCAGTCCTCGGCCTTTCCAACCTCAGAAAACCGTAAGACCCTGCAGCTCTTTTCTGTCCTTCTCACCGCAATCCGGACCCAAGGTGCTCCGTTGTTTGTCCAGGGTCTTCTCAAATCAGCTGCATGTATGTGCATTGTGCATAGTGCGCCTGTATGTGTGTATGTATGTAACGTATGTATGTATGTACGTATGTATGTATGTATGTATGTGTTTAAGAAGGTATGTATGTATGCATTATGTAGGAAGGTAGTTGGGTGGTAGGTACATAGGTTTGTTTGCCTGTTGTCTGCCTGCCTTCCTGGCTGTCTGTCTGTCTGTCCGTATGTCTGGGATGGAGAGGGATGGAGGGACGGAGGGATGGAAGGATGTGTGTGTGTGTGTGCATGCATGTATACGCTCAAGCAAACAGCATGGATACTGCACATGCACGCATACATGCATGCACACATTCATGTGTACCTGCATGCGTACATGCTTACAACATAGATGCATACGTACATAGATATCGTAATGAGCTGCATTGAGGCATGTACGAGTAGGACCTACCACGTTAATCACTGCAATGGTCAAGCAGTGGAGTGCAGTTTGAAACGAGTTCGTGGCTCATGTATGCATGTATGTGTTCGTATGTGTGTGTACATATATGTATATATTATGTACATTTATACACATACATACAGGATGTCGCACAAACACACTTACACATGGACATACGTATTGAGTTAGTTGGCTACGTAGGTGGATAGCTCAGAAAACACAGGCCCAGAGCTCCCACTCAGAGAGATGCAGTCCTGTCAGGCTATGTTCCGTCGAAGCTACGAGGCCAGGCTTCCTACCATACGTTTGCATGTAGTCCTACTAGTACTAGCTCGGATGCACGCTGTGTCTGACAGTCTTTCGCTTTCATTGAGGGCTGTTGGCACAATGTCAATTTAGACCGCAAGCCCAGCCTACCCAGCAGATAGAGTTAAAAATTGGAATGTTGGGTGGCTTCTGGAAGGCCTTCAACAGTTTGCACGGCTTACCTGACCCTTACCAGGATTTAGGGGTTGCAATTCCCTGCGGCTCTGAACCACTCGTTTCCCAAAGTTTTGCAAGGCGAGGCTGGCAGACAGCCAAGATGCCGAGGTCCGGTCCACATCGAAGTTATCTTCGATACTGCAAGCCCTAAACCCAAAACCCTAATTAGATGTTATGCAGGGCATTTAGGGCTTTTGGCTGGGAAGCCGGGCGTTCACCCTCAGTTGCCCGCACTCCGAAACCTCTCGCAGGAATTGGATAGAATCTCCGTCAAAGGTAGATTTTGCGCAATGGGGAGATGGGATTCTTGCTTGGAGTTTGCCAGTTCAGGGCTTGCAGTGGGAATTCAAGGCCCAATGCCTTCAGAGCCTGGGGGCTGCATATGCACTGTGGGACTTGGCAAAGCCGGCAATGTTACATGTTTCCTGTTGGGACAATGGCAAGTTTTGCTGGCAGCCATTTGTCGGCCTTAGATCCCGAGATACTCGACACAACACAGGTTTGGGCCCGAGCAATCCTAGATTCCAGAGTCTGGCTGTTGGGACCAATGATAACCGGAAACCCCCGGTGAGTTCTTGCTGTGGCAGGACACCGACATAGCCAACTCCGCGTACAATCTGGCCGTTTGCCTTGCGCAGCAGGCGCCGGTGCCACATGTTGTCAACGAACTGGACTGCCTTTTTGCTGAAGTAGCTGTCGCCATTATGCTTCGTTGCTACAACTCTTTTTGTGTTGCTCAATGCTGTCCGTTTGTCACCATCGTACGCATGAGCATCCTTAGCTGTATCTGTCGTGTGTTGCGATCATCACGGTCTGTCATTTCCTTTGGTAATTCATACCCTTCGGTATTCTCTCGTCAACTAGATGCTCAAACTTATAAAGTCCACTCCTGAGACGCACCGCCCCGCTCTGCACAGGGCAAAGATGCCGTTGCCGAGCAGTACTACCGCAAGGCTGTCGAGGCCTCTTGTCTTTTAAGGACAGAACAGGCAGCAGCGGGTGGCGAGTTCCTAATGTGCTCCACAGACCTTCAATAGCTCTGTGGCTTCTCAACACCATGATGTGCGAACTTGCACACTATGCGGAAGGCGTATTCGAAAGCCTGCGGTGCTGACGACCCCTACACGCCACTTGTCGAGACACCACTTGCAGTCGGTGCTTCTGTGAACTCCTTCCTTCCGCTGGTTTGTGTGTGTGTGTGTGTGTGCTTGCGGGGACCGTTTACCTGTACCTGATCTAAGCAGCGGGCCTTAGAGACGGCATGCTGTTTTGTAGCACGTGATTCCCGCGTAGACCGGAAGGACGTCAATTCTTGTAGTTGTGTACAGACGCAGGCATGATGCCTTTGTATGCATGCATAGGCATATATATGTTTGCACATATTTGTGTTGGCATGTATGCACGCATGCATGTATGCAGGTATGTACGTATTACGTACTTATGTATGTACGTACGTACGTACGTAGGTCTGTCTGTATGTATGTATGTATGTATATGTATGTATGTATGTATATGTATGTATGTATGTATGTATATATGTATGTATGTAGTTATGTATGTAATTATGTATGTGTGTGTATGTATGTTCGGATGCATGTGCATATCCGTGTAAGAACTGCTTCATGTGCATATACGAAGTGGATGCAATGCGCACTGTGCTGTACCGTGACGAGTACATATTGGAAGCAGCTTACGCGAACTGTGCCACGAGCGACTCCATCTGAGGTTGGATGCAGTTTTCAACTTGGGTGTGTGTTTGGAGGACCTGCTTCTGCCCACAGTGGTGGCAGCGATTGCACACCGGTTTCTGATGGTTTCTGCTGGCAAGTCTTCGCAGAGCAGGGCTCTTTGAACAGTCGAGAGTTTGTTGCTTCAAGCCCAAACTTCGAGCAAAGCAATGACATGCATGTCCAGTCAACTTGTGGCGGCATGCGCGCCTTGTTTCAATCAGGCCAAGATACACCAGAGCAGCTGTTTGCTGTGTGAACACTACTAGGGGCAACAAGGATGTGGTTTCCAGGAATGACGAAGACCAGATGCAGAGCCCAGCAGAATACAACTTTCTGCAGGGGTGCGGCTTTCACTCTTGAGGATCGTAGGCATGCAGATCGTTTGCACATTAGACACAGCTTCGAATGACCTGCAGAACCATGTCTGGTCCCCCGGTCCTGTTCTTGGGGAATCATACTCAGCGTCGGTGCCGGAGGATCAGGGACGGTTGGATGAGGCTGAGAAGCTGTACAAGGCCATTGAGTTTTTCGAATACATGGGTGTTTTTTGCAGGAGCCTTAGCAAATGGTACTGTGCCAAAGAGGAGATTGTAAGAGTATTGCGAATCGAAGACATGGCCTTGCAGAAATATCCAGCCCTGTACTGCAGCCGAAACCCTCGGTATCCCTCGACTTTCAGAAACTACGGCCCTTATCCGTTTAAGACCCCAAGAGCGTGGAACTAAGCCAGAAGGTTCCAGAGTTTCCTTGAGAAGCCAAGGCCCTGCTAAGCAAGGCCCAGTAATGAATAATAGCCATAGTAATAATAACATGGCTAGAATCATGACACGAAGGTACTACAACGTAAGAATAGTACTATACTACTATTACACTGCTATATACATTATAATGACACTATACTACCATAACACCATAACATTCGGGCTCTGCTAAGCAAGGCCCGGCCTTTGTCCCACACGGAGCCAGGCAGCGGCGGATGGCCGCGCACGGACCTTCGGAACTCAACATGCCCAGCGCCCGGCAGAGTTGGTGGCTTTGATCTTCGTCGCTTCGTCACTGTCTAGTATAAGAGAGATAAAGGGCTTAGAGTCTCGTGTTTAGGGGCTTTGCGCTTGGATTCCTGGAGGGGGTGTCGGAGTGCCGTGAAGTTGGAGCCCTGGATCTTCGGGCGCAAGTTTTCACCCCACAGACCAAACGGCCCAAACCTTATACCTCGTCGCCTGTGTAGTACCTGTAGGCGTCACGATGTTCGCACTTCCACCCGACCTTTCCTGACAGCCTGCACTGCACGGCTCGATTGGAGGGCAAACATAATTGAGATTGCCGAACCCCGATTTTGGCTCGCGACTACCACTCAGAGGCGAAGTTGAGCTGCCTCAACTAGATTCAAAGCCCGCTCATTCGCCGAAGTTTCGGGAAAAGCAGAGGCCGGAAGCCTTCCTTCGGAGTAGGTGTCAGGAGGCCCAAAGCTTTCGAACCGGACTCCCGACCCCTGCAATAACATTCTGTTTGTTCGGGGTTTGAGGGTTCCCTTGAAGATCATTTGCAACCCCGAGATTCCTTCGAGGCTGACACGTTGCAAGCGGAGTCGTCCCTCATGATGTGCCGCACCGCCATCCAGCAGGTGGGGTTGAGTCCAATGTAAGCATTCCAGTATTTCCTTGCTCTGACTGTAGCTGCGAGACAACATCCCGAGCTTTGAACTCCGGCACTTCGACTGGGCTAACAGCGACGTCTACGCGTCGCAACAGTTATCTCGCAAGAACAATCGTAGTCGACATCACCAGCATCGTCAGAATCAAAGCAGCGATGCTAGTAAGATGGAGACGCAATCTACTCAGGAGCTTTTGTAAGTAAGGAAGGCAGCCCAGTGTGTTTTTTGCGACGACTACGAGCATTTCACAAGAATCCATCCAACCATGAAGGTTCCCCCTGCAGTATTTGCGTATTTGCACAGAGTCCTGTTCATCGTAATCTGTTTATTATTAGCTGGTATTTTTATCTCTATGGGATTATCTGGGTAATATAGCTGCAATAGTAACTAAGCAGTAAGAGTTAGGGGTTTAGGGTTTAGTGTCAAGGGGTCTTTTGGAGCCCTGAAACCATCCTCCTACTTCAGAATAGGCTTCAAAGGGCGGGAGGATTCGCCCCAATGTGGTTCCATTATTAGGGGTGTTTAAGAAAAGGGGGAAGTGATTAGCGAGGTCAGACGTCCAAGTCGAACAAAACCTGGCAAAAAAACGTCAACCCTGAGAAGCATGCTTGCAGCTACATCATTCGGCACGAGGCGGCTGAGGCGAAGTAAGCGCACACAGCGCGGCAAGAAAACGAAAAGAGGCCTTGGTGGCTCGTTCGACAACATCCGAGACTATTCATCTTTCCTAGCACCACCGTAAGATGGATAGAACTGCTGAAAGCAGCTTCGAATGAGAGCAAGTGATCGAAGCAGTACTCAAGGTTGCGAAAGTACGGTAAGGGTCGGGTCAATCGTAGCTGGTGCAGTGCTACCGCAGAGCGGCGCAGTACCCAGCACTAGGAGCAGCGCCACTACCAATACCTTTACCGGTACCAGTGCCAGCACCAGTACCAGCAGCAGCAGTAGCAGAAAGAGGAGGAGAGACTACAGTTATTGTTATCTCTTCTTCTTACTACGACTACTACTCCCACTCTTCCTAGTACTACTCCTCCTACTCCTACTCCTCATGTTGCTTCTACTCCTCCCACTGCTGCTTGCTTGTACTTACTACTAACAAGCAGCAACTAGCAGCACTCCTTCATTCGTAGCTCCTGCACGAGCCACCAGGGCCTGCCTTAGATGTCATGCCTCGCTACAGTGAGGTTCGCATCGACCCAAGCTGGGTTCTGATTTATAAAAGTCACCGTTTTGGACGACTGTTCGTTCTTGTTTGCACCTGGCGCCGTGGGCCAAGTTTTTGGCAAACTTGGGATGCAGTGTTTCCAATGACTTACCTTTCACCGTTTCATGGGAGTCTTGCAGAACGACCAGCAAGAATTCCCAGTCTTCTAGCTGAGTTTTAGCACAAGAGTTCTTTTCCCGGAGCTTCCTCCCACCGGAAGCAGAGCGAAAGGCTTTGCGAAGCTCCTCAGTTGCAGCGCACTGGGTTTCAAAGTGTGCGGCGCAACTGCCAAGACTGCAAAGATCATCAAAGGCTGACCCGAGACGTTGTACGGGGCGTATGAGCTAAAGCATGCTTTGCAGGATATGGCTTTGAGGCTTCGGGCGTTAGGCAAGCAGCATGGTACTTCCTGACTTCAACCACCTCTTCATCCTCAGCCAGTATCAAAACATCTCGGGTCAACCGTGCTCCTTTACCCTTCGTGGCAGCCTGCCTCTCCGATGGGCGTAAACAGCCCTCGGCAATTTTCCGTGTGAGTCTATTTAGACGAACTGTGGTCCCGGTATCGATACCAGTTTGAGGCAGGACGATCAAACACACGAGAGACACTGAAGAAATGCTGGTACAACAACTGCGAGCTACCTGCGCATGACACTCCTTGCCTCAAACTGATAGGGACCATGTATGCATCCGATTTTCGAGGTACGGGCCCGAACGATTGTCTAGAGTCTATACATAGTGTAGCCTAGAACAGGAGTACAACTGTACTACCGCTGCTACTGTCACCCCCGCACCCTCACCGTCCCCACACATAAGTACAGCAGCAGGCGCAGCAGCGGCAGCCGCCTCGTAATCACCAAGAACATCGCGAGCACCATCGCCACAATCTCCATCAGCATCATCACCATTACCATTACCAAAGCGTCATGATGGCCGTGATTATCATTTCCATTGCCAAATATTCCAAAGTCATGGCCAGCACTGCTTGTTGCCACCACCGGCAGCACCACCATCACCGCCACCACCAGCATAATCGTCACCATCGTCATCATCACCACGCCGCAACCGCCACCGCCAGCACCACCAGAACCAGCACCAGCACCAGCACCAGCACCAGCAGCAGCAGCAGCAGCAGCAGCAGCACCACCACCACCACCTCGTGAACCTGCACCTGCACCTGCACCTGCACCTGCAGCAGCAGCGGCATCATCATCATCATCATCATCATCATCATCATCCTCTTAATGTTCAGCGTCGCTATTCGTGTCATTATCCGTGTTATCGTTGACAACAGCGTCCTATCGTTCCTACAGACAAACCATGACTCACCGTTCGTTTCGTTCGGGTTGGTGAGCATGAAGATGCAGACAGCGATCATAATGAGACTGCAACAGCGATAATGATAATGCTGACAGGTAGCCCTAACAGTACGTTGTTCAGACCCCCCCCCCACACACACATATACACACACACATCACCACCTACAAGCAACAACTCAACCCAATGTAGATTGACGATTCAAGCAAACACGAAGACGAAAGACGGGGAAGGCCTGGAACCTCGAAGTGGTGGACAGCATAGACGCCCTCTGACTGTCGACGACCATTTGAAGCAAAAGGAATCAAACTGCGTTTACTTGGGTAGGAAATAGCTCAAGGGATAGTGAGACAGCCGCCGAGCACAGCCACTGGATAGGTGCACTCCTCTCGTAAAACTGGGTATGGCTAGGTTCAAGTAGCCCCAGCAGGAAGCCGCTTTCAAGTCAGAGGTGTCCAGGTCGTTCCGGAACCTGGTGAGCCTGCTTGGAATGAAACAGCAAGACCGTCGAGCAATCTCAATCAAAGGTCTTCTAAGAAGACCCGGAGCGCCTGAGGCTCCGATTTGATTGAGCCCCAGGCCCAAGCCTCCCCCTCCCGAATCTGCCAATTCCTCGCGAGCCCATGGCCAGGTCGTCAAGGAGCACCTGCCTAAGGATGGCCTCTGCGTGGTCTTTGTAGAGACGAAGCGCGGGGCTGACTCCCTGGAGATAGAGCTCCACAAGGCCTGGGACATGAGTTCTGCAGGAGAGAAAATTTCATGCTTTTGGGTCTGAGTTGTGCAGTTTACGAGAGATGTACTTCGGGTCTAGGCCGATGGTGCTGAAGAGATTCGTACTGCTACTGTAGGGCCTCGTCCGTCGTTTCTCCAGCAGTTCTTCTCACACCACACCATGTTACGCCCTCTTGGTTCTGAGGTTTCCTTGTGTAGACTGAACAATTGGAAAAGCAATTCATGAATTGGCTAGTGCTGTTAGCCTTCAATGTCTCTGCATCCGCCTAGACTTGCTATGATACTATCGGCTCCAGACCACAAAGCTCATCCTTGAGCACAGCTCTGCGCTTCGGGGATATGTAACAGCACATCACCCAGCTAAGGCCAAACCCACACTCGCACGGAAGCCAGTACACAGCAGAACCTGTAGGTGTGAAAGGAGAAGGCTTTCATTCCCCTTCCTCTCAGCTCCGCTGCCATAGCTTCGGTTGTCTGGTCTTGACGTGTGGTGTAGGTTTAAAGGGTTGGCTGCTTGACCTAAAAGTGCAGCTTCTGCCAGAATGGCATCAGCGTCGCGGCAATCCACGGCGACCGAAGCCAGATACAGCGAGAGGAGGCCATGAGATCTTGGGAAGCTTTTGTAGCCGTCTCCAGGTTGTTCTGGGGCACTGAGTGCAGCAATCCGCCGAAGAGTTTGCATTCGCACGCAATATCTCAGAATCAGAACGATCGACCCCAAACGAACCTCGAACATCATACAGGGAAATTCATCTGAGCAACAGATGGATCTCACCTAGGATGGTATGACTTAAAGCCAACTCACGCATCTCCTTTGACGACATAGGCTTCCAAGATTTTAGGATCATCACACTTGACATGTCACTGTTGCCGCTTTTGCTTATTGTCAAAAGGCATGGCTTTGGTGCTGCTAATTCCCATTCCTCATCGTCCCGCTTCTACTGCTGCTATACCGACTTCGGCGGCCACTGCTGCTGATCTGGTAGCACTGTTTCTCTCTACTGCACCTGCACCTGCACCTACACTTGCATCTACACCTACACCTGCCCCGGCACCTGCACCTACACGTACACCTACTCCTACGCTGACTACCACAACAGCCACAACAACCACAACAACCACAACAACCGCAACAACCACAACACTACAACTACAACTACAACTACAACTATTACTACTACTACTACTACTACTACTACCACTACTACTACTACTACTACTACTACTACTACTACTACTACTACTACTACTACTACTCCTGCTGCTACTACTACTACTACTACTACTACTACTACTACTACTACTACTACTACTACTACTACTACTACTACTACTACTACTACTACTACTACTACTACTACTACTACTACTACTACTACTACTACTACGCAACGACTACTACTGCTGCTGCTACTGCTACTGCTACTCTTACTACCAGTCCTACTCGTAATGCTACTGCTACTGCTACATCTACCACCATGACTACAGCCTCACTGCTGCTGCTGCTGCAGCTCCACAATGCATGATGAATAATTATTAATTATTATTTCCATTAATTTAATGGAAATGGGCTTGCGATGGGTTTTGGCTGGAATGTTCACCTTGTTCAGATTAGTTCGAAGCGCTAGTGCTGCCGGTGGATGTATGACTGCTGCACAGGCAAACGTCAACACTCATGGCAGCACCTCTAACTTCCGAATGCCCCAGCGGTACGGCAAAATCGAGTGCAAGTAGCTGAGACTTAACAGCCCACTCCTTCACCACAAGTAATTCGCGGAGGCGCTTGCTGCCTTCAAGACAGGGGCCAATCCGATCCTCGTGGCCACGGATGTGGCTGCGCGTGGGCAAGGGGCCCAGGGATGACTGCTGGTTCGGGCTTATGGGGACTTACTTTTCGGTGTTGGTGCCGCAGCTAGTCTTGGCCGCCTGCCTGACGAGCCATGCAGAGGTCCTCTGATACGGACACACGTCACGTCCATGAAATGGCCAGCCAGACACACTCCTGGTACCGAGTTTGGACATTCCAAACGTGTCGTTGGTGGTGAACTTCGACATGCCAAAGTGGCGGCCCTGGAACGCTGCATGCAGCTTGAGCTTCGGTGCCAGATGTTATGCGGTTGAGCCTGTTTGTCTTGAAGTGCACGATAGCTGTGCCCAAGCACGAACTCGGCATGCCAGAAAAGGCTACGGCTAAGTGCGTACTAGCAGCTACGAGGCTGAAGTGTGGAGGCACAGATACTTCGCCGGGTACAAAGGAGCTGCGAGCTAGCAAACATTCTTATGTACAAGCCTCCGACTCAATAAAAAGCGTTTGCCCACCATGAATCAGCCGCATAGCACGAGCAACGCCTGTCCTGCAGCATATGCCATGCCAGCACCACAATTCATTGTGTCGCTTCTGCCCAGACAGCTGGACGATTACGTTCATCGAATTGGGCGCACCGGGCGTGCCGGTCGCAAGGCTCATAAGATTGGGGAAGCGGCAAGCGCAGAGCTGCGGATGTTTTCGGCTTTGGGGCTTGGTTTGACCTTTGAGCATGGCGATGAAGCTTCATCCTCGGCACTCTCCGATCGTCCCCTTGACCAACTTCTAGAGTTGTGAGCATGAGCCAGCAGCGACGGCCCCGAGTTTGTTCTACAAAGTTCTGAGAAGGGTTCTGCAGAGTTTTGTTTCTTGGGATTGTCATAACCAGAGCCACAACATCAGCAGAAACAGTCCCATGCTTGGCGCTAGGCTACTCTGTCATACTCTGTCATAAGGATGTAACAGATCCATTTCTAGATACTGGCAATGACAGTGTCTTGTCAGCCGGGCAGCCGCGTGTACATATGTATACACGTACACGGACATGTTTTAACACGTGCACACTCGCAGGAGCAGGCGCTCGCGAAGACTCTGAATGTGTTTTGGGATCGTACCTGTCCAGTGGAAACGAATTCCTCGTCGGCAATGTTTCTATGAGGGGGTTGCCGCAACATGGGTAGGACTTGCAGCAGAGGGCCCCGCTCCTGCCTGAGCTTAGAACAGGGTGGAGTTCTGGACATTGCATACAGTACCACAGGCCCGAATGCCTCCACTATCGGCGAGCCTTGGCCTGTGCTTAGTGTAATTGCGACTGCACCTGGCAGGGTACGGCCGTGGCTTTCGTGAACGAAAGGTGCGCATACCTCCACGACCTGTACGACATTTTGATCGAGGCAGCGCTCCTGGGGTCAGATTTTTCAGGAAAGTGGTTAGGAGTCACGATTAAGCTGCCGAGAAGAAGTCTTCGGGGGTCTTCGCCATGACTCCACATCATGTCCACAAACTCTTCCGAATCCTTCGAGGAACAAGCTGTTCAGTTTAGCCAATGTTGCGCAGCTCGTAGTTTCAATGCCAAGTTACCATCCTTCAACGTTGCGCACACTAAAGCCTAATCCGAAATCTAAGCCCCAAGCCCGAAGCATATCGTTCGTTTCTACATCCTGATCTTCTTCAACTGCCCAATTAGATGCTCACTCGGTTGCTACATGCAACCGCCAGGCCAAGCAGGACACTCCCATCTGGTTCGAGGAGATGGTGAGGCTAGTGGGAGCTGCATTCCAAAAGTCCGCACGGAATCCTAAGCCCTCTGCAGAGCCGGCTGAACGGCTGAACAACTCGTTCACTAGGTCCGGTGTGCATCCTACCGATCATGGCTTATTGTGCGTACAGTGCCCGTGCTACTACGACATGTACTGCAAGCCGGCACTGGATTGAGGTGAGCTAAAATTGCGAAATCTGCATGTACCAGTGCATGATCATTCCGTCACCAAGCACCGGTGCTTCGATGCTAGCGCCGAACACCGACCCCAGCACCCTTCTGCACGCTGCAGTTGCATGAGCCTCTCAGCCCACCTCCGGTATATCATTGATCATCCGCCCTACCCCTTACTTAGGGTAAAGGAACTTTGATGTGCTCACCCTCCCAAAACTGAAGCCATTGCACCTTTGCGGCACTGGACTCGGAACAGGCAGGCACGGCGTCCCACGGGCGGTAAGGGCGGCCGCCGCGCAGAGCGCTTCGGAGGCGTCCGAAATTCCACGGTTCTTTTGCTTGTCGGCTTCTCTCCAGGTACGCGTAGCTGTAAAGTGATGGTGGTGATGACTGCTGCTGATGAAGATGCTGACAATAACCGTGTTTCATTCCTGAAGATGCCTGAATGTCAATCTCAGCTCGAACGCAAGAAGTGCACACTAGTGGTAGTAGTAGTAGTAGTAGTAGTAGTAGTAGTAGTAGTAGTAGTAGTAGTAGTAGTAGTAGTAGTAGTAGTAGTAGTAGTAGTAGAGGAGAAGTAGTAGTAGTAGTAGTAGTAGTAGTAGTAGGAGGAGGAGGAGGAGCAGCAGCAGCAGCAGCAAGAGTAGTAGTAGTAGTAGTAGTAGTAGTAGTAGTAGTAGTAGTAGTAGTAGTAGTAGTAGTAGTAGTAGTAGTAGTAGTAGTCGTAGAAGGAGAAGTAGTAGTAGTAGTAGTAGTAGTAGTAGTAGTAGTAGTAGTAGTAGTAGTAGTAGTAGCAGCAGCAGCAGGAGTAGTAGCAGTAGCAGTAGCAGTAGCAGTAGCAGTAGCAGTAGCAGTAGTAGTAGTCGTAGTAGTAGTAGTAGTAGTAGTAGTAGTAGTAGGAGTAGGAGTAGGAGTAGTAGTAGGAGTAGGAGTAGGAGTAGGAGTAGGAGTAGGAGTAGGAGTAGGAGTAGGAGAAGAGGAGTAGGAGTAGGAGTAGGAGTAGGAGTAGGAGTAGGAGTAGTAGTAGTGGTAGTAGTAGTAGGAGTAGGAGTAGCAGTAGATGATGTAGATGCTGATGTTTTTGTTGTGGTTGTGGTTGTCGATTTCGTTTTCGTCATCGCCGAAGTCGTTATCGCTGTCGTTTTCGGTGGTTGTTGTTGTTGGTGGTCGTGGTGGTGTTGTCGTTGTCACTGTCGTTGTCGTTGTTGGTGCTGGTGCTGGTGCTGTTGTGGTTGTTGCTGTTATTGTTGTTGTTGTTGCTGGTGGTGGTGGTGGTGGTGGTGGTGGTGGTGATGGTGTAGCGGTTAGTGTTGGCGTTGGTGTTGGTGTAGTGGTAGTCTAGTTTTTGTGGTGATTGTAGCGGTTGTCGTAACCGTCGTCGTAGTTGTAGTTGTGTCAGTTTCAGTAGGTTAGCCGGTGCTGTTTTTGCGGTTGCTGTTGTAGTTGTAGCACTACTCGTTGTAATAGGAAGAAGTGCAACAGCCGGAGCCACTCTCGTCGTTGTCGTGATAGCAAGAGGGGCAGCAGCAGCAGCAGGAGTAGTAGTAGACAAATTCAGAAGTCAGAGGAGAATGACAGCAGTAGCCCTAGCTTCAGGCGTAGTAACTCTAGGCATAGAAGCAGTAGTCAGTGTTGTCACGAAAGTTGTCGGTAGTGTGACAAGAAGTAATAATCGTAGTTTTCGGTGTCGCCGTCGTCGTAGTCGTGGCACTAGTGCCCAGTGGATCTTCGATCAGAACCCTCACGCCCAAAAAGTGAAGAGCATTCGTGTGCCAGAAGGTGTGGCGATCACAAGCCTGCCGCCATTGATTGAAACTTTACGACCTTCAGATGGATCCTGATCTCCGTGAGCCTCTTTTGAAGTCGGCAGGTTCGGACATCCGGGCTGACGAGAAAGGTTCAGGCAGCGGGAAGGGCAATGGCCATGCCGCGGATGTAAGTCGTGCAAAGCATTGCAAGTATAAGACTGT